TGCTGGACAGCCGGGAGGCAGCGGTGGACATCCACCAGCTACCGGAGTGCGTCGGCCGAGTATCCCCCCCCCGCATCGGCCGCCGGCTGACCACGGACCCCCACCTGCCCCAGCTGTGCGGACATCGACTGCCTGGCCGCCCGGTGCCTGGTGCGTGGAAAGGAGGCGGATACCTTGCAGTATGTCTTGCTGCGCTGGCTGTGCCTATGCGGGGCCTGCCTCCACGCACTGGGCAACATATACGGACGCCCCACCGACATGAGAAAGGACGACGTGGTTGCAGCCTTGGCTGCCGGCTTTCCACCCACCAGAGTCGAACGACTACAACCCGGTAAACCGGGGCCGAGTGGAGTCAACAACAACAACAATAACAACAACAACAACAACAACAACAACAACAACAACAACAACAACCTAATAGCAGTCGGCGGGCAATGAAACGCATGAGTATCGCTCGTGGGCACTTCAGTGCGGCGGGTGTATCGTTTTGAATTTCCACTCATACCCTCAAACTTCGCCGCAACGTTGACACGGGTGTGGCTTCGGCCCCATATCTCAGCAACCAGGCAGCCGATCGGGACGGGTCCAACATTAATGTATCGTGAGATTGACTGGCTATGAAATAATGTCCGTTAGCGACGCGAAGCAAGCGACAGAGCCGCATGAACATTGTTCATATCTATTTTATCAATGTAGATATTATATGAAAGATATAGAGGACTGACAAAAACACTTCGCTATCCGAAACCTTTGGTATATTTTTGCAGCATTTGTTTTGTCATTGTGTAGAAATGGACTAAGTTGAATAGTTCTTTGTCTGCGTTTCCGGTGCTGAGTCACTTGAAGTGGTGCTGCCACATCAAATTAATGCCCTCATGTTTTAACATTATTCAAACATTATCGTCATGTTTTCCAGGCGGACTAGCAACGGTCAGTTGTCCTTACTGCGACTTCAGCTGTCGGGGACAAGATCTTCTGAACATTCACGTGAAGAAGAAACACGGCCACATAGGCAGGAACGGCAAATTGAAGTGTGAATGGTGTCAGTACACAACGCACAAATCTGACTATATGACACTACACCTCCGTACACACACAGGAGAGCGGCCTTACCGCTGTGATATATGTGACAAAGCGTTTGCTGTACACTGTACTCTGACTAAACACCGCCGTACACACACGGGAGAGCGGCCGCACCGCTGTGATATATGTGGCAAAACGTTTACCGTACAAGGGACTCTAATAACCCACCGCCGCTCACACACGGGAGAGCGGCCGTACCGCTGTGATATATGTGCGAAGTCGTTTTCCCATAAAAGTAATCTGACCGCCCATCGCCGTATACACACGGGAGAGCGGCCGTACCGCTGTGACATATGTGACAAAACGTTTAATCGGCAATCAGCCCTGGCCCGACACAATCGATGTCATGCATGCTGATGGGTCAGACGCTGGTACACAGACGTGCCCACACCGCCGAAAATGTGGTGCGATACCGTTGAAAGCTCGGCCAAGCTCCGTACCAGGGAACGGCCGTACGGCGGCTCCAGCTGCGCGGTACGGTTCCTTCACCTGTCACCTGCCATCAATATCATACATATGCGGACCCATGGTGTGCTACAGAAACGTGACAAGATGTACAATCCTGCTGATATGTGACAAAACTTTGTTTGGTAGGATACCTGATGAGACAAACATGGCTTGCAATACAATTTGATGGAGGAAATGGTCTGTCATGGTTGGCAGAAAACTCATCACAGTGGTTTGAGGCAGGGGCTTACGGTTCTATGCTACCACATAGGGAGGGCTCAGGAGACTGATGACGTCGCAGGGTTTCAAGGTTTTGTCGATTTTGAAGACATTGCTGTGCAGCAAATAATCTTTTTTTAGGCTCTAAGGGAGCACATAGGATAATATCAAACTGCATTAGAGGCTAAAATCCTCAAAGATAAATATTGGCGAAGATTGGCAGACAACCGCTGACGTTATTTTTCAAGGTCACCGATGTAAACAAACCAACAACCATTCTACCTCCTATATACGGCCTTGGTTTGAGGGTAGTTTCTTTTGTCAGCTCCACGCGCGCTGGACCTCGGTGTATGACGTGAGATCTGAGTACCTATGTACGGCTCTCGGTAGGTTTTGCACTTTTACATTTCCGGTTAGATCTCAGAAACTAATCGATCTACGATGAAGCCATTTTACATGATAATGGCCGGCTTGTGAACCAACAAGTCGATCGCATCTTCAACACTTAAAGGAAAAGGGCCACCTTCGTGAAATATGAAGATATCGTTGTTTTTCATTTTGACATTATTATTTTTCATTTTCTTTTTAAAACTGGTGTCAGAAGTGCACAATTCGCGAAAAAGTATTTAAAACTATTTAACATATTGGTACTATGTTGATACTCTCTACGGCACCTACTGTATGATGGCATAGCGATGACGTCACACTCAAGCCAATCAGCGTTCAGAAGACAGACTCGTCGGATTGTGTCAGATAAGCTGATTGGTTAAAGCTGAGCTGGTTGGAGCTGATTGGTAAAAAACCAAAGCCTCGCCGCGGGTGGCTGTATTGTCGGATAAGAACGCATTCCTGGGATAAGAACGCATTCCTGGCGTATTTTCTTTTAAAATTGCCGATAACTACGAATGGAGGCCGAAATCGGCCGTAAGGAGGTAGACAGATACGTTTTCGGACACGGGCTACAAGATGGCTATCTCAGTTTCAATCCCCATGTTAAAGGTGGCCCTTTTCCTTTAAAAGCTTAAGACGACGAAGATATAGCCTGAAGTACACTAAATTTTCTAGCTGCAAAACCTACCGCTAAAGCCCGCGAGACCTGTACATGTAGAGAAAACGCTGAACGACTAAAAATCGGAGAAAAAGAAGAGAGAGAGAGAGAGAGAGAGAGAGAGAGAGAGAGAGAGAGAGAGAGAGAGAGAGAGAGAGAGAGAGAGAGAGAGAGAGAGAGAGAGAGAGAGAGAGAGAGAGAGAGAGAGAGAGAGAGAGAGAGGAGATGAGAGTGGGGGGACGGGGGACGGACGGACGGACGGAAACAGTACAAATGCAGAAGGTAAAGAGCAATGACCGCCTTTTTTCACCAGCAATGACCTTATTAAAGGGACCCTCCCACCTTCAAAAAAGTAAATGAATTGGCATGAAAGTGATGTCGCTCGGTTCAGAACGAGCAAAAACGAATATCTACCAAATTTCATCGAAAAATATTCACCGGTTTTCAAGATATTAGACTTTTTTTTTGTTTACTTTTTGGGATCTCCGCTGTTCCTATAGCGACTTTATTTGAAAGTGCGGCATTTGTTGCGCGCAAAGCAGCATATACCACCGCGTGCTACAAAACGTTTTAGTCAAACATTTAAAAATCGTTAGATATCTGCGCTGCCGTCACACATTCAGAGGGGTATACCTATGCATTAGCCCCTCTGAATCAAAATGCTGCAATTTTGAAATTCAATATTTCCGATTTAAGGCATTTCTCGATGTTGTGAGTGCCGAAACCGGTAATTGTGAGCCAGGGACCCCATTTTGGCTATCTCAACTCAAATCTAATGTTAAGGTGGGAGGGTCCCTTTAATTGTGCCAAGGCTATGTAAACCAGGTAGAACACTCCCGACGAAAAACTGGGGACAAAAATGAATTTAGTAACCGCGACTCTGGGGACCAAACAAACTCAGGTTGTCATGGTAACGGGGCATATTTTGCATGAGTACGCATCTAATAACTCATTTTACAACGAATCATCTCACAAAAAAGCCAAAAGACTTGTCGGACCACTACTAGAATGAATTGCAGTTTTCATAAATGATTCTAGTTTATATCAGACTGGTCTAAATGTCAAAATGAAATCCTAGGCTGAACGGCCCGTGCTGCTATAGGTTACCTCTAACGCTCTGGCCCCCAAAATCGTCACTGGCTTATCAGCCAATGAGCGTCGAGTATTACCTACCGTACGCTGATTGGTGGGATCACTGCATTTGTTGTTTAGAATGCTCACGGTTTTGATAGCGCTAGCGAAGGTGTCTCCACTTCTCGTAATGTTAAAAGCCCGGAGCGCACCCCCTGAATTGTGCGAAAAAAAACAGCATTTCTTACACACCGAATCGAAAGATCCATTGGCCAAAGACACGAGGATAAATCGTAATGAACCGTTCGTGGCAGAAATAGAATATTTTCCCGCCCGGGAAAAGATCACTTGATCTTTTCCCGGCCCCGCCGGGACAAGATCACCCGTTTTTAAATTTATAGAAATAAAAAATTAAAGATTTTGTAGCAATTATAGTCTGGCAAACGTAAGAAAGAATGGATTTAAAGTGCTTCGGTCATTGATGCATGTGCATTTATATTGTAAGAGCATATTTTCCCTCACAACTTTTTCACAAATTTCACCAAGCCATACATTTCAAGTGCTAAAAACACGTACAAAGTGATTGAGGCGCTTTAACTCCGTTCTTTCTTTGGTTTGCCAGACTATAATAGTGTGTGAGAAATAAAATTATGCATGGGTCTGCCGGGAAGATAAAAAATTATTAGCACTCGTGCCATCTTTTCACTCGGGACCTTTGGTTCCTCGTGAACAGATTACCACACTCGTGCTGATAATGATTTGTCATCTTCCCGGCAAACCCATACATAGTTAGGTATATGTCTGTCTCTTGCCTTTTCTTTTTTTTTGCATCTTTTGCCTATACGAAATGTTTTAACTGATGCAATATTATATCCAAAAGACTAGCCGCAAAATCTTAGCCAATTTGTTCAAAGTTTTGGTTATGGCTGAATGATATCTATATGTAGTTAATGTAAAAGGTATCTTTTGTATTATTGTCTGTGAGAAAAAAAAACATTTTGTAGCCTAGCTCTTCCCATGACAGCCTTTGTGGTGTTGTGGTTTCAAGTGGCACACGGGAGAGCGGCACGGTCAATTTTACCTGCACCTTCACGTTTTTACCGTCTTCAAACATTATCGTCATGTTTTCCAGGCGGACTGCCAACGGTCGGTTGTCCTCATTGCGGGTTCAGCTGTCTGGGACAAGATCGTCTGAACATGCACCTCAAGGATAGACACGGTCACATCGGCAGGAACGACAAATTCAAGTGTGAATGGTGTCAGTACTCTACGGAGAGATCCGACCACATGGCCGCCCACCGTCGTACACACACGGGAGAGCGGCCGTACCGCTGTGATATATGTGACAAAACGTTTGCTGTTCGATTTAGTTTGAATAAACATCGCCGCACACACACGGGAGAGCGGCCGTACCGCTGTGAAATATGCGACAAAACGTTTGCCGGACAATGGACTCTAACAATCCACCGCCGCTCACACTCGAGAGAGCGGCCTTACCCCTGTGATTTATGTGCAAAGTCGTTTTCTGCGCACAGTAAGTTGGCCATCCACCGTCGTACACACACGGGAGAGCGGCCGTACCGCTGTGATATATGTGACAAAACGTTTGCTGGACAGTGGAATCTAACAAGCCACCGCCGCTCACACATGAGAGAGCGGTCTTCTTACCGTTGTAATATATGTGCGAAGTCGTTTTCTGAGCACAGAAAGTTGGCCATCCACCGTCGTACACACACGGGAGAGCGGCCGTACCGCTGTGATGTGTGTGACAAAACGTTTCCTGGACAATGGAATCTAACAAGCCACCGCCGCTCACACATGAGAGAGCGGCCTTACCGCTGTGATGTATGTGCGAAGTCGTTTCGCCATCAATGTAATCTGACCAGGCACCGCCTCACACACACAGTAGAGCGGCCGTAGTTTGATATACACCTGAGCCAAAACGTCAAGCACACCTGACCGAACATAAACGATGTCATGCGCTGATTGGTCAGACGCTGGTACACAGACGTACCCACAACACCGCCGAAAAGGTGGTGCGATACCGTTGAAAGCTCGGCCAAGCCCGTACCAGGGAACGGCCGTACGGGCTACGACTGCCCTCCTGCGCGGTACGGTTCCTTCACCTATCACGTGTCATCATATACATACGGGCCCACGGTGTGCTACAGAAACGTGACAAGATGGTACAATCCTGCTGATTTGTGACACAGCTGATTTTGTAGTGTACCTACCTGGTGAAACTGCATGGGTTGCAATACAATTGGATCGAGAAAACGGTCTGTCATCGCTGGCGGAAAACTGATCACGGTGTTTTGAGGAGACTTTCTTTTTGGTCAGCTCCACGCGCGCTGCACGGTTCGTCAGTAAGTCATTACATCCACAAAGTAAACAAAATATACCATTTGAAAGATGGCGGTGAGCTGATTCCAAAAAATGTAGCTATTTCAAAATCGTTCAGCAGCCTTTTTAAAAAATTGCGTTTTACAACTTTCTGTTCAACGGGCTGTCCCGGACGCGAGTTTCCTAAGTGTGGAACTGCCCATACCTAAGTTCTCTGATTGGCGTAAGCTTCGCCGAGATGACGTTACAGGCTGTGACGTCATGGCTCACAGTCGGCCGACCAATCGCTGCACGATTATAGGCTAGCGGCGCGCGGCACTAGCGCCCCTGGTGTTATTATGGGAAGTTGAGCAATACATTGAAATCTAATACGTAGCTTGTGTTTGGAACAATTACGTATTACTAAGGCGTCAATGTCTCACAAATTAATTCGTCCATGCTCCTCAAATTTTGCAAAGTGACCTTATATTGTGCGTCATAAGGTACTACGCTTTAAACAATCAGCACACAGCACCAGCCAGGCATTGTTACAAGTAGCGAGCAGTTAAGTGGCGGCAGGTGGCGCTACCATCTCCAGTATCGGTCCAGATGGCGTCACTCACTATCCGCACTATAGATCCGCACTACCTGCGAATAAAATAAATAATAAATCCGCTAATAATCTCGCTAATGGATCTGCTAATAATAAATCCGCACTACCTACTAATCTGTGTCCTATTGGTGTTAAACATCATTCAACGCCGACAGGCAGTATCACCAGCCGTAATACTGAAGACATTTACTCAATGCTGAAGCGAAACGCAGTGCACAAACCCCACCGTCAAAACTCAAGCACCTCGTAGGAGATATGCTTCCAAGGTGGGCGAATGCACGAACGATAACTGAAATAACACCGGTTATATATTCACGTAGAACAAGTTGCTTTTTTTCCTAACTAGGGAACTCGCTAAAATTAAGACTGGCTAAATATTTACGCAGGATAACTGGCTCCGCCTCTTCGCCAACTTAAGGACCCGCCAATCCATGCACCTAGCCGCCAGCGCCAACTGATGACGTCACTCGAACGGGCGACGGTATGAATAGTTCCACACTTAGGAAACTCGCGTCCCGGACATTCTTGAAATCATAGACATGTTTTTTTCGTGTTCCAGTGAACGTTGAACGCCAAAAGAAGGATATGTAGCGGAAAAATATTCTCAAATATTATTGTGCGTCTCCCACAGCCAACAAAAAGGCGCTATCACACAGCTCAGAGTAACGATGAATCAAAGTTAGCCACACAGAAGCATGAAATGACCATTATCGACTAGCAGACCCGGCGCTCTCGGCCCGCCCGCCCGGTCACGGAATTGACGTTCGGCTCTCGTTCTACTAAACGGGTGTCATATTTGTTAGTTAAACGATCCAAATCGCTATCAAAGTTATCCAGGATGCATGTGTGATAATTAATATTCTCACCTATCCTGAATAACTCAAGTATCGACTTGAATCGTTGAATTTACAAATATGACGTCCGTTTAGTAGAGCGACTGCCGAACGTCATTCAGTGGCCAAATAGGCCGAGAGTGCCGGGTCTGCGAGTCGATAAGGGTCATTTTGACGTGTCTGCGTGGCTGACTTTGGTCCATCTTGAGAATGAGTTGAATGATTGCGCCTCATTGTCGGCTGTGGGAGACGTTTATTGATATTTGAGAATATTTTGTTTCGCTACATATTGTTCTTTTGACGTTAAGCCTGGAACACGAAAAACATGCGTAGGATTATAAGAATGTCCGAGACAGCCTGTTGAATAAAAAAGTTAATACGTTTTTACAAAACACAATTTTGAAAAAGGCAATCGAACGATTTTGATAAAATTACATTTTTCAAATCAGCTCACCGTCAGCTTTCGAACGATATATTTCGTTTCTTTTGTGGATGAAATGTTTTCTAGACGAACCGTAACTTGACCTGGGGTGTTCACGGGCACCGCACACTGCTGAGTGCGGTGTGTGCGGTGTGTGCAGCAGGCGTGGGGGTAGGGGATGGGTAGGCGGTTCTCACGTCACGGCTGCGTGCGGTGGACGGTCCGCTGTGGCCACCCGACCAGCCACAGCAGTCGCTGTGTGCAGTATTCTATGTACCGTGCTGTGTGCGGTGACGGAAAGCTGACGTAGGGACGCAGTGGGCGGAGCTTGGAGGCTGTGTGTGGTCCGACCGCACACAGGGCCCGTGAACAGTCCTCCGTGACATGGGTGGATGACGTGAGAACTGGTGACCTGACCTGACCTGGCCTAAATGAATGAAGAGCCATTATCTGTGAGCTCAACTAACAATAAATTTGTGAATAGCACCCCGAGAAATCCAATGACACAGATCCCGAACTTTTGGTCATTGACGTGACCTAAAATGTCAACCAATAAACTAAGACCTTGGATACTTGGATATCATCGGCTTCCTCTTTCATACGGGCAAATGTCGTTTTCCGAAACATTTGGTTTATTGTTGTGGCTTTTGTAAGGTTGCCTATGAAAAACATTTTATAGCTATTCCCATTACAAAAGAAAAAATAGGTACAGCTTTTCCGGTGTTGCGATTTAAAATGGTACACTGGGGAGGGGCTCAGCAACCTTCACGCTTTTGCTGTCTCAAACTGTCTGGCCATGTTTTCCAGGTGGACTGACAGCGGTCAGTTGTTCTTACTGCGACTTCAGCTGTCGGGGACAAGATCGTCTGAACACGCACGTCAAGGATAAACACGGTCACATCGGCAGGAACGGCAAATTGAAGTGCAAGTCATCTCAGTCCTCCTCGGACAAGTCCAAACATATGGCAGACCACGGCCGCTCACACGCAGCAAAGCGGCCGTACCGGTGTGATACATGTAACAAAACGTTTTCTTTACAATGGAACCTAGCAAACCACCTCCGCACACACACGGGAGAGCGGCCGTACCGCTGCGATATATGTAACAAAACGTTTGCTGTACAGTATAGTCTGACCGCCCACCGCCGTACACACACGGGAGAGCAGCCGTATCGCTGTGATATCTGTGGGAAGTCGTTTTCTCAGCAATGTAATCTGAACAACCATCACCGCACACACACGGGAGAGCGGCCTTACCGCTGTGATATTTGTGATAAGTCGTTTTCCCAGCTGGGTCATCTGACATCCCATCACCGTACACACACGGGAGAGCAGCCGTACCAATGTGATATATGTAGTAAGTCGTTTTCTCACGGGAGTCATTTGACCGACCACCGCCGTACACACACGGGAGAGCGGCCGTACGGCTGTGATATATGTGGAAAGTCCTTTGCTCGACCGTTTACTCTGACTCTCCACCGCCGTACACACACGAGAGAGCGCAAACACTGACCTAACATAACCGATGTCATGCACGCGCTGATGGGTGAGTCGGCGGTACACGGACGTACCCACACCGCTGAAAAGCTGGCACAGTGGTTTGGTACCGTTGAAAGCTCGGTGAAGTTCTGTACCTACCAGGGTACGGCCGTACGGCTGCTCCACCTGCGCAGTGCGGTTCCTTCGCCTGTCGCGTGTCATCATACACATACCTACTGTACATGGTGTGCCACAGGAATGTGACCAGATGGTACCTACATCCTGTCGATTTGTGAGACAGCTGTGTTTTGTAGTGTGCCTTTCTTAAAACAAATATCGGTTGAAATACAATTAGACAGAGAAAATGGTCTCTCAATGGGGGTGGATAACTTGTCTGGGTCTCGATGGTAGTGGAGGGGATGATGGGCAAGTCGCCCCTGTTAAAGTGACCAATGACCATCCCACCTTTAAGGTAGACTGCCACCTCTGGGCCACAAAACGGTTTTCATAAGATTAACCCCACCCCAACACCACTGGTCTATGGTCATGCGGCGTTGCTACTCTGTGTTGATCGGGCTCGCTAGAATGCAGCGTCGCATACCTCGTCACACCAAAAAACTGTTGATTGAGGCACTTGTGTTCCCCCAAATGCAGTACTGCATGTGTGTTTGGGGCAGCTGTACCAAAACCCAGAAGCGCAGGCTGCAGAAGTGTATCAACTTCGCCGTTCGAATAGTGACAGGCCTAGGTAGTCGCGAGAGGGTGTCGGGCGTACTTCGCGACCTCGGCTGGCGCGCCATAGACGTCATGATTGCTGAACGCGACCTTTATGCTATGTATAAGTTCATTCACGGCATAGACGCGCCAGAACTGCTGTGTTCGCGCATCGTCAGTCGTTCTGATGTAGCTGCGCGCAGCACTAGGGCAACCGATGATGGACAGCTGGAGATACCGCGCTCGCGCGCGGAGTTCGGTCGGCGCTGCTTTTTTAGTCGTGCAGTTAGAGCATGAAATGAGCTGCCTCTACACGTGAGAAGCTCGTCATCTATGCATAGCTTTAACCCTGCAGTTGCTGGGGTATTTCGCCACCCACCGTTTGCTGGGGGGGGGGGGGCGTTAAACGCCCCCAGCCGATAACTCGAGAACCAATAGGCGCAGCGAAACGCACTAGGCGGCAAACGAAAGAACGCGACGAGACGCTTCAGATGAGTACTTTAAAGTTGAATTTTGAGGTCACAGGTCGGGTCTAGGTCAGGTCAAACACCTGAAATCGGGCTTTCAGTAGCATGGACTTCAGGACCTCGCAATGGGCGCCTCTCGTCATAAACTCTGTCAAAACGGTGCACAATCCATCATATAAGGCCAACAAGAGTGTCAGCTCCATGTAGGGGTCAGTTAAGCATAGGTCAGGGTCAAGGTCAGGTCAACCCGGTAGGCACATATCCTCGAAAATCAAAACTGATATTCGCAGCCTGTGACACATGTTTTATGGGTAATTTGGGGCGTAGAACACGATGGTGGCATTCGTTTTATCATATGTGTACGTGTTTGGCTAAAAAAGTTCAATTTAAGAAATGCATGTATCATGGTCGTGAAGTAGTCACGAGAAA